TTCGTGCCCGCCGCTTGGGCTTGGCCTGTACACCATAGGCGACTTGACTGTGGCAATCTTGCCGCTTTCCCAGGCCAGTGATTCTGTTTGAGGACCTGAAGCTGTTGGAGAAGGCACCCCGCGAGGCTGGCGTACTTTGGCCCAATGCTCGACAACGCTCTTTACCTGGTCGGCGAAGCTGATGAAGCCCATTCCAAATGTATCTGTCGTCAGGCTGGTGTCGATTGGTATACTGACTGTCTGGTAGTAGCCACTGGTCGTCAATAGCCTACTTGCGAAAAGCTCTGGGAATTCTTCCTCGGCGATGTCGATGGCGTCGGTCCACCGTACTTGCTCACCCAAGATGAAGCTCTGATCCCCAAGAATCTTGGGGCTAAGAGCCTCGACATGAACCCGTGCCACGTCTTTGACATGCACCGACAACCCCGCGTATACCCCCTGACTGTGACCTAGGAGCAAGGCTGCCAACATGGAGTTTGTGCCCCGCATCGCCTGCTTCTCCGTAGTCGCTGCCGTGTTGGCCCCCAGCACGAAGCCGGGATGTATGTAGACGGCGTCAAAAGGTGGCCGCTCGTTCTTCATGTACTCCTCCGCCACTTGGAGTGCTCGACATTTGGAGGCTGCGTAGGCGGCAAACTCGGATTGGTATGGTCCTTGGTCGACGGGTATCCGGTCTTCGGGAAGCACTGGCCGTGTTCTCTGTTCTTTGCCCTCCATTTGTGATATTGGAACAATTGCCGCAATGGAACTGGTAAAGACAACACGTCTCACGGTTCCGCTTTGCTCAGCGGCATCAAGGATGTTGAGTGTTCCAGCAGCAGCAGGCTTGATGAACGTCTCGCGAGCGTCATCTGGGGTGATCCAACGAGCAGACTTGCTCGGTAGGGGAGACGCTGTGTGGATGATGTAGGCGGCATCTTCGGCAGCCGCCACGAATGCCCCAGGTGTCGTGATGTCTGGCACGACGGTAAAGGAAAGTCTCGAACCGGGGTTCAGACGACGTACTGCGGGTCGAGCTCGGATTGTGTGTTCGTCCTCTGCTTTTCGGACAGCGCACCGGACATGATATCCTTCACCGAGTAGGAAACGAAAAATGGCCCAGCCAAGGTGGCCGGTGGCGCCAGTCAACAAAACTGTGTCTCCGAGTGCCATTTTCGGCGGTCTTTGCTGTCTGGTGTTTTGTCTTTTCTCGTGTAATGGCTGACGATAATGTGTATATTCAGTCGATGGCGAGCCAAGCTTGAAACGTCAAGAAAGTTGGATCATATAAGGAGGTCGACGTAGAGAACTCAGGAAAGGGTGGGCAACAGCCTAAAGTATCAACATGTGCCGCGTAACGCCCTCCATGAGTGGCATCGGAGAGCGCTTCCCCCTTTCGGCTCCCAATCGCACCCCATTGTCTGCACCAGCATCAAGGTATACGTACCTCAGCCACGGAGGGCCTCGCCTCTCATCTGTTTCAGCTGTATTCTGCTGACCACAAGCCTCCAACAAGGGGCAATCACAGTTACGGCCCAATGCCAAAGCTCCCTTCCCACAGACCGCAGTTTCCGGAGATTTGGTCCAGAGTATCTCTGGTCACGGTTTCGACGTCACCATATCAGCACATTTTTATGCTATGCCACGTACCCTCCGTTGTCCGAGCGGTACTAACCGAGACCGCACATTGCACTGATACCGGGCACTCGAACAAGGACGTTACCTCCGACATAGCCGTCCCGCATGCGCTTTCGGGCACTCAGCGGCCGACTTACCGACGTCGGCAACACAAGCAATGTCAAAGACGTCGTCAGCATCTTCCTGCAACTGCCCAAACGTCTCATGCTCGCATCTTGGCGTTCCGTGTGACCCCGACTGTTTGTGGCGGCTTGGGCGTCGGCCGAGAGACGATGCTCCAAGGAGGTCATTTTCTCTCCCAATCTGACTAGAACGGTCTCAATTACCCCAGATCAATCGCGGCAGTTCGAATCGACCCCTTCTTAGCTCTGCATGCATGTCTGCGGTGCGCAGATGGTACCGTCATATGCGAGATTTCCAGCTCGCCAGTCGGAGTTCGCTGAACAGTCGAGACCGACTACAAACGACAGAAGCGATGGTGACACAGCAGGGGCAAACATGAAAGCTGCTGATTTGGTAGACAATCACGAAGCGTTGCTTGATTGACGCATCTCGGATATAACAGCAATGCCTGCGACTGACAGGTCAAAACAAGTTGCATCTGCCGGCCGCCGACTCTGACGCGTCCAATGCAAACCGGCACCTTCGACTCCTTCGAGGGGCACGAGAAGCACACATGGCTACCTACCTCCACGACCCGGCAGCACGCGGCGGCGTCGTAATGCACATCTGGTCTTTGTTCATCCCTTGCATAACCCCCGCGTGGGATCTACAAATATGTAGCCGATGCCCGTGGTCTCCGACAAACTCGCAACAATGGAATGCGGGCAGTAAGCGGGCAAAGCGGGTTTGCCCACGCTCTCCACGCTGGCCAACAGTTCAAGCGGCGAACGGCGATCTGCACATATGTCTCTACCCGCCGCGTCTGGACAACATCTCCGCGTCACACACGCACTTGCAACAATATTCTTTTCGGTCCCGTGAGCCGTGAGACATGATTCGCAGAAGTAGCCGACCGACAGACAACGACCTCACCTCTTTCGGTATTTTGACTGACCGTGAAAGCTCGATCTGGACCTTTTGTTTTGCCTACAACTGAAGCTGTCTCGGTTTCTTTCAATGCTCGTGTCACCCATTTTGACGGATGTTTAGGCAGCAAGCCACAGCTACACACAAGCTGGGCTGAGAGTAGCCGCGGCCTGGCCATGGCGTGTCGAGGCAACGCCACCGGTCACACCAAAATAGGAGATTCAAGATCTGGGCTACGCCACGGGGGGTTTTTGCAACAAAGGGCAACAAAGAACACCCTGACACGCATTATTCACATGGCGAGATCTGAGTGGCAAAGACACACGTTAACGATTTCGAGGAACAGGGTCCCGGGATGCGGAGAAGACACGGATCGGGGTTTACTCCGGGCCAGGAACGAGCGAACGACAACAGCACCTTGTTATGCCACGCTTGGATCCATAAATAATGAGGCCAGGGTCTTATAACTCTGGTCTGGCATTGCGCTTGGATATCCTGGAATAACTCTCCATTTTCAGCCTCAAACGGGCGAGACCACAAGCTGCATCGCAGTCCCCCACTCGTGTACAAAATGCTCATAAGTAGATATTGCTACCTGATACGATTCCGGACTGGCATACTGCCTCCGGCTCGCCTGTGCCCCCGAATCTCCCACACGGATGACGGCCCGGAAGCTCACCGGTTCCACAACGGGGTCCGAGGCGATAATCATTGTCAGCATATGGTATAAAGTATTAGTCCGGCCAAGGGATAGTTGAGCCTATGCCCCGTCCGGTTCCTGGTTCCAACTGTAAACATTGAGTTACCAACGGCATGTCTCTTTTTAACTCTGCGATCGCGACCAAAATTTTTCACCTATGGTCACAAGCTTATGTCGGACGGCAGACATTGCTGCCAAACCACACCGCGCACAGATATGGCACAGTAGTCCTTGTGACCGGCCCTGTTCATTGTAGGAGCCATTCTTCTCACTCATTGAGGGGTGAGCGTGCAGGTACGTCATTGGCTCCATTGTCGGCCATTCTCTCCTACGGTGGGACGTCACTAGCGGAACATGTTCTAGGAAGCGCCGTTCGTGAAAACACGAGGGGCGTTCGTCCGGAGGAAATATCTGTGCAGTGCAGTTCGGACGAGGAGTTCCTGGCTGGATTTACATCCCCTGCTCTTGCTTTCGCGGGGGCTCCCGGGGTGTAGATTCGCAGTCGTTTTTGCATTGACCCCATTTTCTCCAATATGTCAAACCGAAGCCCTCTTCCTACCTCGATGTTCATCCGGCACTCTGAGCCTTAGCCGGCGTCACAACTTCTCTTATCCGAACTCATCGTAATTCTACAGCCATCACACCACATGCTGGGCTCTTCGTTATCACACTCAGCCCTAACCCCGAAATCGGTCTTTCCAGCTTACCCCTGAATGATGAAAACAAACGCCAAGTGTCCAGATATCTTATTTTCCGTCAAGGTGATGCGTCTCTACTTCCAGCTTCTATGGCTTCTTTCTGGGTTTCTTTATTAGCAGAAGCTTGGTCCTTTCATGGAGAGATCAAGTTCGGGTGCCAGTCAATGTTGAGTGGTGTTGAAACAGGCAAGAGGAGTCACGTCAATCAATCACTCAAGTAATTTCTTCTTTCTGAATCACGCAGAACACGGTGAGGCAAGCTCAGTTTGCGTTTGACGATTCCACTATGACGTTAACAAGCCTGTCGGTGATGATGCAAACACAATTTTCCTACTATAAAGTCCGACTATCCCATTGGTTGTCTACGACCACTTATCGTGCCGACCAAGCTACACCGATATTAACTATTCAAAATCTACAACTCCTCATCTGAGATAACCTATCAATATGATGGCTCTCTGTTCACAAAGAACTTCCAGCCTGTCAATGTTTCAACTACGATGGACCATGGTAACATATTTTGCCTTTCAGGAGGTTCCCGATGAATTTGATCTGTCGAAATTTGAAGCACAGGCATGGCGCTGACAATGACACTTGATGTTTTCCCATCAGATGATTCGTCTATTCCAATTCGAACTATGAGCTTAGATTCTACGGGCACAATGTACGTCTCTTGGTACCACTATGTCACTGAATCGAAAATATCAAGTCAAATGTCTCCTAAACCTCCTCCAAATTTTGGGTTCCTTTCAACTCTTTCTCGCCCAGTTTCCTGCCTACTCATATTGATGAGACTCTTTTCATCCGCCGCTCATAACGAACTAAATCAGTGACCACCGAGAACCTCGCAACTCAAATGGGCATAACAACCAATACCCAAGCCATCAAGATGGGCAAGTCCCTTAACTCTCCAAATTTCCATGCACTTACGGCCACTGACGCTTTACCCTCTTGTACTTCTACCTAGTCAACGAGTTTGCCAACTCTCCAGTTCCTATCAACGCCCAGAGACGCATAAATATGGCTAGGGCAATCGTTGAGCTGGCCATCGACTCACTGAATGCGCATCGCAATCTCGACTGGCTCAAGGATCTCGCTAAACAAGAGTTGGAACGTTCGCTGAGAACGAATGTCACCTCTGGAATGAGGGGGAAACACAATCAGAAGATTCTGCTTTGGTATAAGGTTGTGAGTGTCATTGAGGGCAAGGATTACCAAGTCCTTGTGAGAATTAAGGCCCGAGACTGCGGAGTTGAGGTGGAATAGAGGGTTGGAGTATGGACTTTGGAGGGCAGGTGAGGATATGGACAGAACGCTGGAGATTATAAGGAAATGCAAAGAAAAAGAACTGGAGAGCTAATCTTGGTATTGGAGATGCCTGGGAGTAGGCCGGGGATGAAGGAATTTGGCGTCGGGGTTATTATCTGGAACATGAACCCCTCTCTTTGTTACCTCCATGCTCTATGCTGACGACTTCCACTTGCCTCTAATCTTATAATTGCACTGATAACTCCATGCTCTGATAAACTTGTTCAATTATCCCACTCTAACGCGTAATGAAGGTTGGGAGTATAAGATCGTCGACGAGCTTGACGACATGAAATTTGTCAGTTACCTGGACACTACGCTTGACGAGCCGTTGGAAGGCAAGGACAAGAGGAGGATGTCTCTGGTAAGTACAAAGATTTACATAGTATATTAGCGAATCAGCTTTCAACAGTTGCAGATGCTAACGTGTTTGTTACAGCTGGTGTCCAGAAGGGCGTTGACGGTGAAGGTGACGAGTGGGAAGGCTGGATGCTTGTCTGGGTTGCCAGTCAAATCCGAGGGTTGCAATACGGAAACTTATCAAAGCCATGTCGCCACATAGACTCTTGAGAATTGGGTTCATTATCTGCGTTTGCATTCATTGCACCTTTCCACTCGGAGCGTCACAGAGACTAGTTCGAATACATGACGCCCTTTTAATTATTCCTCCTCTTCATCTGCTATTTACGTCTGTTGTATATCCTCATCTGTTCGGATCCCGTTGGATGCATCCGACTACCAGAACGAGAGAACGATGAACAGCCCCAGTGGTCGTGGGCTGACCTGGGAGCGGGGAAGACATCATGAACCACCTCTCCACTAGCCCCTCAAACCATTCACTTCGAAACAGATCATGCTGGCTGGAGCGTACACCTGCCTAGAGGTAGATAGGTACCGTGACCTCCGAACAGCCTTTGAACAGGCTGTCTGTCCCATCAACCTGGATCCACCAAAGCTCAAGTGAAGGGAAACTTCGAACCACGGACCTGGATGATTAGTGCCTGCCAAATCAAACTGTCACTGCGTGCCACCTGCTATAAGTTCCCACCGCCCTCTCTCTCTTTCCCAATTCCAAACTTTTGCCTTGCAACCTCACAACCCCAACCAAAATCACAACTGCCGACCGACTACCACTCTTTAAACCACTACAATATCCCACACAAGATGTCGTCCAACATGTACACCGATGGCCTCATTTCCCTCAGTAAGTCGCATCTCCATCTGCCACTTGAGGTCTTGTCAATTCACCTCGACAAAGGGACTGACACTTCCTCCCCTCCATGACAGTCAACATACATGAGAAAAATTACCCCTATGATTCTCCCACGGACTTTCGATTCGGCTACGCGGTCGGCCTTGTCGGCCTAACTGCTCTCAATGTGTCGGGCGACTACACGGCCCAAGAATTTCACGACTCCATTCGCGACTATGCGGTTACTCTTCGAAAGGAGCGCGCCCTGGCCGAGACCGAGGATAATCGTGAGATGACTGCGAAACTCCTTAGCAGGGAGTTCATTTGCTACGACATGCTGGACGTTGTTTGCGGTAAGTGTTTTCTCTCTATCAGATCCAGGATGCCCATTTTCAACCCGAACCTATCTGACACGTCCTGGACAGAGCTTCAGAGCAATCGCAGTGAGACCAAGGCCAACAAAGGTTTTGTCTCGAACAACGACAGCATCGTCAACAAGGGAAACGAAGTTGTCATCAAGAAGAATGATGTCGTCTATGTCGGCGAGGACAACGAGTTTGGTAAGCTATAGCCAAAGATGTGTAGCAATCAAATGTCGATTCAACTTGAGCTAACATCCAACGTGATTTAGTCCTGATCAGCGACGTCGAGAGCGAGACGACCAACTCCGAGGCGGATTCGTCCGAGTGGGAGCTGGTTTGAAACCACGGATGCAGATGGTCGGCTGGGGACTTCACTGTGAGGACGGGATATTGCGCTGAAAATTGGGAAAAGGAGCAAATGGCTGCGAGATATAAAAATGGTTCAAGTTCATGATGGACATCAGAATAACCTCCAACATTAAACACAACAAGTTCAGCATTCAATTAACCTTTGTACCTTACCCGCAGTTCTTGAGACTCATTGTTACCTCTACCTTCACAAAGTGCCCCATTGTGACGTGCTCATTATACGCTGGGGATGATTGTCGAGTGCCCCGTATACATTCAGATTTCAGGACTACACCAGTGAATCGGACAACTGTTCACAGATTGGATAGATCATTTGGTACAGGTACTCACCGTCGTCTCCCCAGGTCAATCCACACCAGTGAATTGGACAGCTGTGCACAGGCTAGAGGGATTGTGTTCAGGTTCAGGTATGCTTTTCGCGGTTTGGTCTTCTGTAATTGCCATTCACCACAACCTAACACTGGTATAAGAACTGCCCCTCCACAAGCTTTCTGGTCTCAAACTCTCTCCCTACACAACACAACCTCGATCAAAACCACAACTGCCGACCGGCCAACTCTCTTCAAAACTTTAAAAAAATACCTATCCAGACAGAATGTCACGCAGCATGTACACCAAGAACCTCATCTCCCTGAGTAAGTCGCATCTCCGTGCATCTGCCTTCCTGATTTCGTCAACCTACCTGGGCAAACCAACTTTGTAACACTTCGTTCTCCATAACAGTCGAAAAACATGAACACAGCTACCCGCATAATCGTCCCACCGGGACGCGTCGTGGCTACGCGGGTGGATTGTTGGGCTTCTTTGCCCTCTTCGTGGACGACAACTATACCGCCGAGGAGTTCAAGGAGACCATTCGTGGCTATATGGCCACACTCAGACAGGAGATTGCGCTAGCTGAGAGCGACGACGTGATTGTAAAGCTTTCCAGCCGCGAGGTCATTTGTTATGACATCCTCTTCGTCTTGTCCGGTAAGAGCCCACCAACCCTTCGATGCCCATTACCAGATAGGATTCAATTGACATGTACTTGGCAGAGCTGGAGCTCATCGGAACCGTGACTGGCAAGCTTAATGTCTCCACCGGCATGGACAGTGTGGTCGACAAAGACGTTAGTATCAACGAGAACGTTGACGTTATCATGAAGAAGACCGTCGATGTCGCCGAGGAGAGTATGGGTGCAGACGAGTTTGGTATGTTCTGATTATGACAATCAGTGGTTGGGCTAGAGCTAACTATCGTCTTACCACAGTCAATGTTACGGAGAGCGACGCGGGAGTCTCGGAGGCAGATTCCACCGAGTGGGAGATCGTTTGAGCCACCGAGAACTACAGTAGAGGTACCAATAGAGACTTGCATTGAGCGGAAGTGTCCTGGGAGATTTGGGAATTTGAAGATCGCAAATGGCTACATGGCATAGAGGTAGAAATGGTTCAAATTGGCCATCGGCGTATGAATACCTGAATGCAAAGTACTACAGTCATGGACCTTTTACATCCACAGTTCTTCGGGCGCTCAATGAGGTACCGTTTTCGAGTATGTTTGCGTCCTTAGACGTGAACTCGACTCTACTAGCAGTGCCGAGCGGTTTTCCCAGGTCCGTCACAGGGAGATTCTCTGCGGTGACGTTCTCACCGTCATATGCCGTAAGTCCTATCACACTTTAATCAAGGACATGTATTTAATGTGAGTATAGCTAACTTGTGCTGTGCAGAGCTTAGACAGAAAGCCACTGTTCATAAGAAGGTTGATGTTGTCGTCAACCCCAACACTTTTGTCAAAGAGGATAATGTCGACATCGACGACTTTGGTAAGTGCTGCTCGAAGAATAAAGCTGGCAAATACTGGGTTGATTGTAGCTAACTATCGCTGCCTTACAGTCCTTATCCACGAGATCGGCACCGGAAAGTCCGAGGCGGGAAGTGCCGGGTGGGAACTTGTTTAAGGCCAAAAATGGAAACAACCTTCGAGGGGGACTTGCTGTAAAGTAATGAAAAGGGAAGCGAAGCACAGGAAACTTCTGAGAAAGGGAAAAACCAGGAATGCCATCTCAACATTGGGGTCTAGTAGTTCGAGTTCATAATGGATATGCGAATCCGAAGGAGTGCACGTTCAAGACCTCCAGGCAAAACAAACACATAATTCTTGGACATCCAAATTCGCCACTCTTTTTTCTACCCATCGTGAGACATTTTTCTCTACATAAAGTGCCCTATTATAATCCTAACTACATAGGTATACACGCTGCGGACGGTTATCAAAACCCAGCCGACATCTAAAACCGTACTAGTGAATTGGATAACTGTTCACAGATTAGATGGATAGATTTTGTTCAGGTTCTTACCGTCGTTCCACCCAGTGCTTTTCGCCTGTCCGGTCACTGGCATATACCATTCACTTGTTTTCGAACACAGGTATAAAACTGCCCCTACATCAGCTTTCCGGCCCTCCCAAACTTTCTCCTTGCAACTCACAAACTTCTACGATCTAACCTACCGACTAAGTACCTCTCTTCCCTTACAATTTCACAACAACAACACCCTGACAAAATGTCGTCCTCTATGCAAAACCCCACCAAGGAGATCATTTCCATGAGTAAGTCGAACTCCCAACCTCCCCTTATCAGCCAACGTCGACAGCCGACCTCGACAGAGGCAGTTACTAACAATTTTTCCCCAACAACAGTCGAGAGACTTGATGGCCACCCCCATGGCCTCCACGCCGACAAGCGATTTGGATACGCGGTCGGCTTGGTGGGTTGCGCTTTGCAAAAAGGCTACACCAAACACGGGCTCAAGCGCATTATTTGCGACTATGAGGTCAGCCAACGACAGGAACTCGCCCTCGCCAAGAGTGACGTCCAGATCAAAAAGATCAGTCACAGGGAGCTCCTCTGTCGCGACGTGCTCGATGTTATCATCGGTAAGAGATTCCATTAACATGAAACATGCGGTATACGAAACCCGCCGTGGCCATTGCAACTAACTGACGTGTATTATTCAGAGCTTGAAAACAACACCAAGCGCGACGAGCAGGCTAAGGCCGACAATATTGCCGCTTGGAACAAGGACGTTGTCGTCGCGAATGGCTTTGCGGTCCACAACGACATCCAGCCTGTCACCGACAAGAACCTTGTTGTCAACGAGGACAATGTCGATACCCTCGATTTTGGTAAGTGCTGTTGAGAACATGAAGTAGTAAATGAGCAACGCCTGGGTCAGAGCTAACTGTCACTGTGTTATAGTTCACATCACTGGAAGCGATGTGGAGTGCTCAGAGGAGGATGCTTCTGACTGGGAACTGGTTTGAAGGTTTCCCATGAAGAATGCCAGGTAAATTATCACAATGTCTCTTAGTGGGATACTGTAATGAAGAGGAAAGTCTGGACTTTAGGGATGCTTGTATGCGAATGGTATCTTGGAGTGGACAATTCAGAATCCAACCTCAAATAGCACAAGACATCCGAGGGATACTTGCTTCAATGGACTACAAAAACCATATCATCATTGCGTTCATTGAGGGATCTCTTCATAATAGACATTCGAGTGCAAGTCCAATCTCCGATACCTCTAGGCAGAAGAAAACATGGTTTTGGACATGAACCTCTATAATCCCCAATCACTCCTCCAGAATTCCTCTTGAATATAGCTCTATCTGTCTGAAATAAGCGCCCCATGGTGACGCGTCAATTACACGCTGTGGATGCTCATCATTGGAATTTCAGCAGACTGGAAATTCAGAATCACTTTGGTGAATTGGACAACTACCCGTGCACAGACTAGTTGTACAGAAGGGCCAGGTCTTTTTTTCAGGTTTGTACAGGTATTTTCGTTCATCCAGTGCATACCGCCTTTTTTTTGGGTCTCCCCTTCACTTCACCTCGGACACTAGTATAAAAATTGCCCCTCCACAGGATTTCTGGTCCTCAACTTCCTTCCTCTTCGCAACTCACAACCGCACAACCTACTGCAAATCAACCCAAAGCACCTACCAGCCAGCCCACTTTCTTTCCCTTATCTCAAATTCTCAACAGCTTTCATCAATTACAATGTCGTCCTTCAAGTCTTCTGTCGATGTCATTACATTGAGTGAGTCGCATCCTCGTTTGTCACCGACTTTGACAGGGGCATTTACTAACACTTCACACAACAGTCGAGAGAAGCGATGAACACTCCATTCCCGATATGCCCCCTATGAAGCGCTTTGGGTATGCGGTTGGCGTCCTTGGTTTCGCCGCCCTAAAGGGCAACTACACCGTCAATGGGTTCAAGGACACTATCTGCCACTATGTGGCTACCTTGAAGCGCGGCCTCGCCGAAGCCGACACGAATGAGCTCGTCGAGAAGCTTCAGCACAGAGAGCTGCTTTGCGCAGATATTCTCTGCGCCCTGCTCCGTAAGAGTCTCTGTCAAACTCGCGATGTCCCTAGCTAATACTTGTTGTATAGACCTGGAGCAGAAGCGGAATGATACCTCTAAGGATATTAATTTGAACGAGGTCGTTATCTCTGACAACAACGATTCGGTCCACAGCAATGTCGAGATTGTCGTCGACAATGAGTTGTCCGTCGATGAGCACAACTCGGATTGGGAGTTCGGTAAGTGCTGCTTGAGAATATACCTACCTGTAAAGCAAACCAAATGATACAGTGGTCAGAGCTAACCATCGCCGTATTTAGACTTCATCAACGAGAGCGAGGTAGAGGCGTCTGAGGCAGATAGTGCGGAGTGGGACCTTGTTTCGGAGATGTCCGATTACATGTAAGGGCACCTCTAGAGGTACTATCATCGGAAGGTAGTGCCTACCTACATCGTGTGGTAGTGCCCTAGGCAGCTCACCTATTGGAAGAAAGCCCGGATCGGCGAATTTATCATGTTTTACCCTTCCTTCTTGAGAGGTAGTTCCTTCCATTCGTGATAGACTTCCTGATGTGATGGAAGGCAATAGCTACAACGAATTCGTCATTGTATTACACACTCATACATACGTCGATTACCCTCTTTCTACCCAGAATCGCATGAGTTGTGCTCGATCCTCCCAGTTTTTGCTTCAAAGATTGTATAGCGTACACCCAAGGAATTCGAAGAAATTGTTAGCTCATATGCCGCCTTTCTTAAGCAGGAGAAGTGGAATGCCCACTCTCCGGCCGAGGTAATGGTCACAAGAAAACCGCCTGATAGATCCGAGTGAGCTAGCTTCAAGAAGCTACATTTGATTATTCTCTGTATTTACCTATTTGTCGAAGCCCGGTCGGCTGCTTTTGACTTGCTTCTCTTGGTCCACTGCAAGTGCCACGTGCGAGGTGTGAAGCTCTCGAAATCTGTAATGACTGCAAAGGTCACGGGGACTACATCACCTGAACTTGGTCCTTCTTTTCTTGCGGTTCTCAACCTCCGCCGTGCAACACCAACGCGCATCCATTTGCACCACACCTCCCACCTCTCGCAAAACCGTGCACATTGGTTCGCCATATATAACGTTCAGCAAACGACATCATTCTTCGATAATACCTCTGAGAAAATGTCATCCATTGGAATCAACCTTGCAATGATGACTAAGTCGCTTCACCAGAGCTTGCTAACCACGGCACCCAGCTACCCATCCTGCGCCAGTCATTATAGAGCTGCAGGAACGTGGTGAGTATCCATGATGAATTTGTACCAGCTCGGGACAATCTTTTCAATGTTTTGTCTGCCCCTTCGATTGATCTGTTCAGGTTTCTTGCTACCCGATGATGCCTGGTTGTCCAGTCAGACGCCAAGTGGCATGAACACGATGCTAAGCCCACACCTCAAGACGAAAAGGATACAGTTACCTGTGAGAGGCAACTGCCACAAGTTCTGACGTCTCATGTTTAGCACAAGTCTATTGTTCATCTCGTTTCCTTTGCCCGATAGATCTTGGATCTTCTGCATGTACCTCTAGTTCCTTTTATGGCACAAGCTCATTGTTCTGAGGTGCCATGTTAATGTCAACAAAGAAACGCCTTCCCCGAAATACCTAGACCCTGAGACCGAAGCAGAAGATCTTCTAGCACCCACAAGGCCATCCAATGAATATCCATCACATTCTCTTTGAAGCGATTCATCTCAAACCAAGCTTCCCATTCCTCCAAACGCAAACCCGCGATGAATATCCCCTTTGTCCACTGGCACATGTCATCTGTCGGTGGCACCTTCACTGTTGAACAAGTTCGCGAGATTTGCACGTCGATGGCAACGATGGCGCCTCTCGTATCAGAATGTTTGGGCGGGTGCCTGGGTCGGCGATGGTGTATGGTGGGAAGCTAATCACGAGCGACGATCATGTCGAAGACCTCTGTAAGGTAACTCGTTAGAGGTATTTCGAAGGTACGCTCTATAAAAATAGTACGAGATACGTACCTAGGTCGTTCAACATGCCACAATGGATGTGGATGATAGCGCGGAGGAACTTCCTCTGCACCTCCAGGCGCTCATAGGCCATTCCGCGCGGGATGTTGTGCCTATATGCTGGATTTCCGCTCATGACAGTATCCAACTGCTCCAAGATCTGTTCTGCGGCACTTCTGACCACCCGTGGGGAGAGGGCGGTCCTATACGCGTGCTTGAACCACTTGATCGCTTCGACGAGAATTTCGGCTGAGCATGGCGGGATGCCTCCATTGGCAGCAGTCATGTCGGAGACTATTGCATTTGTCAGAGAGAGGTAGAGAAGAAGAAGACCGGCGCAAGGAAGGCAAGGACATACTGATGGTGTCTACCGGAAGAATCTGCAACGCAGTGAGCACGGGGGGAGGCGGAAGATGGAGAATGATCTCTACAGACAGTTAGTACAGGTAAATGTTGGATTATACCGGCGCGAAACACGCTCAACCAGAGGGTATCACCGGAGATCACCCATGTAAACTATGAAGCATATGGAGGACACTCACTCTTGATCGTCGTGGGCTTTTCTGGGGTGCTGTGGGTAGTCGTCATTGAGGCAGCTTCGTCGGCTGGCTTGGAGCTAGCAGTGGAAACGGGCTCTGGGATTAGCAATTCCGACTCGTCGTCAACATCGGGGGCTGTCGAAAGCTTCGGTTGTTTCTCCTCCTCGTCGACGACGACAGGCTCAGCGGAGCGCCTTGGAGTTTGCAGCTTCTGCGCTGTGGTACTTCGAGTGATGTATTCGGTGCGCGCCATTGTCGGTTACGTTATCGAGTGTTGCGGATGTTGTGTGTGGCTGTTTCTGGCTTGGGCGCTGGATGGAGAATCGAGGTATCGCAAATGTAGTTGTGGGTGAGGGTGCAGACTAACCGGAAATATTGCGACGGCGAGCGACAGGACACACACGCCAGCCTAGAAAGGAGGGGTGAAGAGTGGATAGCAAGGTTCTACATGGCGTGTTCGGTGAATTGCCCAAGAGTGGGCGAATATGGAAGGAACTACCCACGATCAAGGTCCTTTTTGCGGTGAACACCATGCCAGTTTGGCAACCGTAAATTGTGAACAACCTACTTGTCAGAACTTTAGGCTTTCAGACCTGGAATCTCAGGGTCGCTACCGGAGTCGCATGTCACTTGTCAACAGTATATAATATCATCCACTCACCACAAGACTCTTCCACCTTTTCACACCTCAACATCATCGACCAAAAATCGCCTACCTGCTCAGTCAACTGTTGACCTCACCTTCGAAGCAAAAAGATCACCTCCTCTACCAACATCCCTCACCGCAACAAACGCAACAATGGTCCGTGTAAAGTTCTCCACGAAGCCCCCTCCCCACTGGAAGGCGCACTCGTTGGACACGAGGAAGCGTCAACAGACCAAGAAGGGTCGACAGTCCGAAGCCGACAACGACGACGAGACTTGGCTTCTTCTCCCAGAGCCTTCCTCAAACACAGAACAGCTAGAGGTCGTCGAGATCAAAAAAGGTGAGCAAGCATACGTGTTTTGTACATAGTAACCATTGACTAATCCTGAATACTCCAGTTGTCATCGAACCTCCTCGGGCTGGCACCCGCTTGCACGCAGCCATGGAACTGATTCCCGTTGAAGACATCGGTAAGTCATCCAGTCAACTTCCAGCATTCCCTGGTTTGCTGCGCGGTGAACCCTCGGACTCGATCGCTAACATACAGACAATAGTTGCCGAACTGTATTATCTCGGCTGTCCCCCGACGAACAACGAGCTAGTCACCCATGCGAGAATGTTTTTCGAAGGAGCTGTCGCACTCGATGCTACAGGTAAAGTCAAGGATGCAGCGAGCGACATCATACTTCATCTGGCATCTATCATCAACGGAGGAGAGACTGGAGCATTCCCAATGGGCCACCAGTATGAACTTTTGAACAAGCAGGTCACATTCCTCAGTGCCCTACTTGATCTCACTGACCGCCCTCAAACACCCGGTATGTTGTCCCTCCACGAGGTCACGGTGCCAGGATTCGCCTCAATGCGTCGACCATAGCTACAGTCTGCTGATACTCTTTTCTGTTTCTAGTAACCTGTGCCGCTAAGCCTGCGACAACGAAGCCCGCCAGAAAGCGTGTGTCCCAGTTGCAGCACAACATTCCGAAGACCGACCGCGTCCTCCGTTCAAGAGCCACGAAGTCGAACTAGTCATGTGCTGCGTCATGGAGTCGGGAAGATGGTCACCCCTCAAGAGTCAAGAGGGCATATTGGTTCAAATACCATCAGAGTAGCATGTACAAAAACATGATGTGAGGGCCAAAGAGCTCCTGAGCTAGCCACGAGATAGTTTGCACCCAGAACGTCGAAGAGTCGGAGCTTACTTCAGACCATACAATGAGATGAACGATTGATATGTTTCACGGGACGATTGAGGAATGTTCCGATAGAAGGCAGGATGGAGAATATGAGATGATCACTGTGCAAGGGGCTAGAAGGACAGAGAAATGCAATGGAATCTGTAGCAGGAAGAACATCTCAATGACACCTGTCTAGCCATCTCTATCCTGTAGCAGAACGGTGCTTAACGTGTTAGTGTCCCCAATGATGAAGCTGTAAGGGGCTGTCGTATGGAAATTGACAAGACAGTTGTGATAACGTTGAGTGCTAACATAGAGTCGGGAGTGAATCGGAGTGAGCACAATCATCACGAGACTGAAAGCACGGGTACTACTGTAGAACGATAACTCGATATGAATGAATTGAACAAGCAACAAATCGGGAAACACAACGAAACATTGTTGTGCTTTTTATGAGAGTGTCCTCATAGAGTACTTCCCCAGATGCAGATCTGCATTCTTCTCCAATACCATTCCTACGCCATAGTCATTCAGCATCGCCATCACCTCGGCTTTTTCGTCGTCTGCAAACGCATCACCGATGGCTTGCTCCACACGATCGAGCAGGCTGTCATCCTCGCCCTTGGCCTTCGGTTTCTTCGTGCGCTTGTCTGACGGGAGCTTGTTCCAAAATGGACCAGCTTCGTTCTGGGCCACCACGAGCTGGTTGATCAGGTTGGTGTGTGCCGCGTCGTCTTCAACACCTCCATTGACATCTTTCCAGCTCCATCGTCGTCTTCTTCATGACGTGGTTTGTCAACTCGGTTATCTCAGTGATTTCTCTGGGAGGACTTAACATGAGGATGAGCAATAGGTCCAAAACATTCCCTCTCGGACATTAAGCGTTGTCCCTATCACGAGTGATAAGTGTTAACACGACTCTTCGAACGATCCGGAAAGATGAATATACGCTGAATAGCTCACGAACGGGGACGAACGGGGAGCTTACTTGGCCAACTCATCAAGAAAGACTTGTTGGAGTCTGAACTTCAAGACTTCTGTCCTCAGGTCTTGTTGAGCGGAGGACTCGTTGATCCTGTGTAAGACCTCGAAATCCAGCATCCTCGCCGCCTTTCTCACTGCTTGTACGGTCTCGTTCTCCCGGGCCCTAGCCAGGAAGACGCGCGCCTCAGCCGCTACCATCTCTGGAGTGGGTGCTCGCAGCTTGGGCAAATTCTCGGCAAATAAACGGTTGACTAGTGTGGGAGACAGGGGTGTTAGTGGGAGCCCCATCGAGGATCGGGAGTAACAGGGTTAGGCAGCTTGGACATCTGAAGGAATGAGCAACTTACTGATATCGACGACTGGGACTAACTGAAGTGCCGCCTTCGTACGCGCGTCAGTAGTCGGCTGTACAACTTCTTGGTTTCCCTGCGCGGTGCGTGGCATCATGGCCTGCTGGTGGACGGTCCCGACATTTCTGGGCTGTGAACGATCCATGACTGGATGCTCCTCGACGTCAATGGCATAAGCTGAAACAGCAGCCGGAGCGGTGGCCGGTGTAAATGAGGGTGGAGCAGCGTTCTTAGAGGTAGTCGGCATACTGGCTTGAACACTGGAAACTGCATCATTGGCAGGTAGCTCTGGAACATTGTCGTCGTTTCCAAACTCGAACAGTGCCGGGTCCACCAGTTCCATATATCCATATTCGTCGTGATCAACTGCGTCGGTGTTGACAGCAGGCAAATCAACGGCTGTAAAGTTAGCCGGAGCACTGGCTGGAACGGACACAGGAGCTATGACTGTGGTTGTGTCCGTGGTCGTGGTCGTCGCGGTGGTGGTGTTGGTGATGGCAGAGTTGGAGGCAGCTCTGGAGGCAGCCCTCGTGACCCTCCTGGTAAAGGGCGTGATACTCGTTGCAGGTACAGAGGGCGCGTTGGGGTTAGCAGCGGTGGTAGCGCCGGTCGGAACTTCGGGAATCTCGCCAGCCTCTCTGCGACGCTGTAGCTCTTTCTGGCGCTCTAGCTCCTGAAGCCTACGACGCTCTTCGCGGCGCTGACGACGGTGGAGCAGCTGGCTCCAATCGGTAACCTCTTCACCTATGCGTTCCTTGACGTACTTCACACGAGCCATCTTGGTTTGTTAGTCGCGAATAGGTGCTGTTTGTTGGTGATTGCGTGGTGGAAAACGAAGAAGGTTCGACGATTTTGCTTTGTGTTTTTGGGCAACTCTCTGAGAAGAGGTAGAAGTTTTTTGTGATACGATTCTGGGAGGAATGGAATGTAGAAGGGGATGGGATGGGACGAACACGTTTGCCTAGACTCCCGAGTGAATGTCTATTTGCGTGACCACCTCCGGGCCGGCAACACTTCTGGACACTGTCAGCTGAGAAAACCTTTTGGCGTCCCACGTAACTCTTGGAGTCGAAACCGTAAAATCAGGCCCTTTTGGAAGAGATGACTGATGTCAGGAGTGAGAATGATCACTATCCGAATCAGATTGTGGTGTCACCTCATGAACTGACAACACATTTGGACTACACGGTGGCGCAATTTTTCAATGCAATCACGGTAGTAATTATATATCTGCGGGACAGATACTGTCTGTCTTGTACTTCCTCTGGTTTGAGGCCCAGCTTCCTCACTTTGGGATGGTTGGGTGTTTTGTCAAGTATGAATAGCAATATGAACGGCAAAAGTTTGTAGGAAGATGGCAAAGGAAAACCACAGACGTTTCCTGCTGTTTCAATGACAGAACATCACCACAGACGCAAATGCAGGGAATCGTTTGCATGATAGCTGTCAACTTGCCGCATTCGTGGGAGGCTTCAGGATACAAAGCTGTCGCTTCTTACATCTTGGTGCCCTCGAGACTTCACGGGCTGAATGGTATCTTTCAATCTTCACAGACAGTTAAGAAACGCGGTGTATGTCAACAATCCTGGTACGAGAGAGGTCTGTTGGTGCATATACACTTGTAGATGCTGTGGAATGACCTCTACACTACACATGGAACACATATCCTGAAAGTTTTATATCACAGCCTGGCAAAGAAGTCAACTGGTCACCCGTGCAAACATGTGAGTAGTCAACACTGCTTTTAACTGACTCCTAGAGTCACTAGTGGTAGCGAGTGACCATTCCATCTGACTTCACGCTGAACATTATCCCATACATTATCATCCTCATCAACTCAAATATCTCACTGGCCTCTCGTCTGAAGACTTCTTCATTCCATGTCAGACATGACACCGGCTCTCCGGCAACATAGTTCGTCCTCCAACTTGGTAATATAAGTGTCTCATGCGCAAGGATATGTCGCTTCCGGACGATGGCTTCATCGAAGTCCAGGAAAAGAAGGACGATGGTCGTTTTGTACGCGTTGCGACACCGACTTCGGTAGTCGAATGGAGAGCTCGAGTCGTTGTTCAGGAGAAGTTATCGCACGGGGGTTACAGTCCGTTGGGCATCCAAAGATCAGCTTTGCCAGTTTCAACGAAGGCTTTGGCCAACTCTAAGTACAAGCCGTGTTAGCAATGCTCCTTTGTACCAAGTCCTCTTAAGGTTATGGGGGGGAGAAAACATACCGCCACAGATAGCCCTCATGGCCTTGACAAATTGTGTTTTGGCCTTTAGCGTTTCGTACGCCTTGTGCCTCGCTGTCGTCCGCTCCAGGCCCGGTTCAAAATGGCGAATGAGTACGTTGGCCGCAAACCGGATCAGGGAATTAGGGTATGTACTGCATACGTCCACGAAGTAGTACGTGGCTGCAGTCGCGATGTCTTCCTCGTTCGGGACCTTTCCGAGGTTTTTGGCAATCAGGTTGTCCACAGTTGGCACGAACATGTCAGCAAAAGTTGGCAATATTGAGAGACTCCTTGGAAACAACGCTGAAGAGAGACCAACTGGAGAGGAACGTACAAATATCTTCTATTGGGATGAACTGCATTGCATCCCGTACGTGTGAAGGGGGCAAGCGGATAATTACTCCTATGGTAGGCTTGGTGTCAGTAGGGGATCCCGACAAATTCTATGGGCGCACGTCGCAAATTGGGGCGACTCATACTGTTCTGCTTTTTGGTATGTGCCCTCCTGGAGAGCGCGGTCTTCGTAATGGAGTTGGAGGTGGTTGGCTGTGGGAATGCCTCAGAGGTGGTGTCGCTCTGGTTTCACTTCTGCCGCTCGTTGCTCTGAAGCTGCCTCAGCCGCTTACTGGCGTCGATTTGAGGCTGTATGAGCCTCACGCTAGATCGAGCGAAACGTGCAGAAACACGAAGGAGGGTGCGGTGTTGCACGCTGAACGTTTCAGTCTTCGTCGGGGAGTGTGAGATTGCCATTGTGGACAGTTGGTACGGTTATGGCTCGTCGTTTTTGGTTGCTGGGATCGGCGTTTGTTGGCGAGAGACCGGGCGCTTCTAAATTGGTGCGGCATCTGGAAAGACAATCTTGACGAGGTGGATAGCAATGGACGAGCGAGGGGTAGCAAAGTACGAGTTGGGGGGCCTTAGGAGGGGTTCACATCGGTGAAATGGAAATTAGGAAAGGAAAGAACGATTGGATCCAGTCTGGCGACCCCGGAACCTTCCTTCAACCAGACTTCACTTGCGTCCCCGCTGCCCGTACAGTGAATCCCTCCTGTATACGCCCCAAAAGCATAACGCGTCAACGATACGCTTGAAGTTTTCAGCTTCATCTGAAGAAGGGGAAATGCGGGAATGATCGCCAGTGGAAAATCACTGAAGAGGATTCATCAACATCACCTCGGAGACACCTCCACCACTCCAGCTCATCTTGAACCAGGCACTTTCCACGTATTATATTGAAAGATATATACGGCTGGAGTTGAAAACGACTGAACAACATGTCAGTAGGCGGCTGCCACGAAAACCCAAAGGTTCTGCTTTGGGCCGTCGGAGGCCTTTCGACTCGATCCACTTGCTGGGAAGGAGAGTAGTCAGTATATAATCCCTCTCTTGTTCTGGTCGTCACGTGGAGACAGGTTTGAGGGAATCAAGACGGCGGCGGTTGAGCTGAGAGCGGTGTGGATGGCCAATAGCTTTGTAAATGCAGGTTAGGTGACAGATTCTGCTTTGCAAACTAAAGGAACCAAGACCAATCTCGGCCGCACCCGGCGCTAGGCCCCTGGGGACAGTTCATGTTACTTGCAACTGGACATAGACATGAACAACAAAATGAGTTGACCAAAACGTCCATAGAGGAACAACCCAGAGATATGAAGATCAGAAACAGAACCGCACGTGGATATTTGACAAAATAGATTCTCGGACTGGTGTCTTCTGAGCTGTTGGCGGTTCATGATTCCAGAGTGCTTCTGTCAAGCCCATGGAAAAAGGCCCCACTTTCAGGCCCCACATCCGTCCGCCAACAGTTCGGATGAAGTCAGGAGGAACGCCAAGACGGCCCCTCTCGGAAGGTCCGCAGTCTCCACACGACCGGCGTGGTGGGGAAAGTGCGGCCGGAGCTCAGGCAAATCGGTGCAACACGAAAGCTCACAGCAGATGAGCCACAATTTTGGTCGAATGGCTTAAGCATGTTGGATCGATTTGGTGTCTGGGGCTTACTTTGGTGTTTGATGAGGCAAATGAGGGAGGGGTTGGTAATGATACCCATCTCAACAAGAGAGTTTGGAACAATTTGAGAATGTGCCACCGTGCACATCATGTGCTTAGGTAATTCACCCGCACGGTCACCTGCCATCGCGGCCCTGTTGCTCTTGCCAGAAAACCAGAAACAACCCAACACTCTTTTCCAAGCCCGTAACGCTGATGCCAATTTCTCCGACCTGTCCTTAAAGTCACCCATCACGCATTGTACTATTGACTGTCGTTCCTTTTGTTTCTTTCCAGCTCTTTACTTCTACTTACTTACTGAGCTGGCAACTGTGTCCCGGATTTTGCTGCAGGCAGTTCGCCGTTATCCACACCACACACGATTCCCAAGAATTCCCAAGGTCCCGTCCTCAGACCTCGTTCCCTGCAACTGAACCCATCATGGCCTGACTGGTAAGAACAGTTTTCAGTAAGTCAGTCCCCTAATTCTTCTCATTTCCAAAATTTGTTGACTTTTTCATCGGGCTTCGCAAGATTATTGCCACATCAGAGAGGCTGTCCCTAACAGCGCACGTCCCACGTCGAAGTTCGAACATCTGTTTTCTGGCAATCAACTTAGAACGACATCAACTTCCAACCATGACAACCCACGATGCATAAGATCTGATAAATTTCTACGTAGACTGGCCACAAGATCAATGACAACTACTTCGTCAACTCTTCCAGATCTGGGGATGAAATTGGCAGGGAAGTAAAAGTCTCCAGCGATGAGGATAACTCAAGTTCAATCAAATAAGGGTTTAAAGTTGATTGAGTGGGTCAAGTAACCAACTTGAATTGATTGATTGCTTGATTGATTAAGTAATTGACGATAGAGTAAAATATTAAAAATTTCGAGATGGGGTAGGTCCGAGCTAGGGTAGCGATCTTTAGGGGTAGAAAAGTATGGGCTTTAACCCTAACCCTAGAATTCTGCCGGGCGGCCAATTAATGTCAATCAAGTTGATGACCTTTAATTACTTGGTCAACTCTATAGGGGACTTCGAATTGATTGATTATATTTGTTTGATTGTTTGAATTTGGCTTGGAAACTTGAGTTATCCTTATTGCTGAAAGTCTCTGCGTCTCCATTTCTTGTGCATTGTTCATTGACAAAATTTGGGCATACTCAAACATTTTTTACGGGTTTGTTTTGCTCTTGATCTTGCGTCGCGTGCTCCCACCGATTTCTTTGCTAGAAACATATGCTGTTGTCACTGAGAGAAGTATTTCCATGGTTTATGTGTACCCAAGTGGTTACGGATAAGCTTGATTGTCGTGCCTTGCGGCTTGTGGATGCTGCTGTAAATCGGATGCCTTGTTCGATTTTCCACAGTTCTCGCTTATAGTCTTGATTTGTCGTTGTGTTGAGACCTCTGTGTCTAATTTGCTTCCGCTTTTCGTCAAGCTGGATGGGCTTGCTTGGTAGACAAGTGTCTGCACGGAACAGCCTAAACGTTTGGTGTACGGCTGAACACGCTCAGGTGAGCAAACCCTGTGCTTCATAATTTCATGATCCTGAGAGTGACGAAATTTCCAATTTAAAGAGGTGCCTGGGGCGGCAAGATGACTATAAGGACAGATTTACCCATCTACCATGAGTTTGTGACATAATCCAGAATCAGCTCTTTAACCTGGTATCGGCAACGAGATAGTTCACGTCTCTTAACATCATCTGATTCTATTTCCTTTCTTCTGTAACACGGAAAATGGAGAGCTCAGAGACCAACAGCCAGATAAAGAGTGTTCACCTTGAGGAGCGTCAACCGGCTGCCTCAGATCAAAGTTCTGGTAAGTGAGATCTTTGTGACGCTTCTACTTATCTGTATCATATTCAAGTTTATTCTTCCGGCACTTGAAGTTCTGATACCGCTTTAACCAAATTCATTGACATCGAGAAAATCAGTATGTGTACATCTACCCAGATTCTTCTCTTCTTAAGCTTCAAATATCCAGCCCATTTGCCGAACTTCCAGCCGTAATCACGCCTAAGCTACTAATATTGACAGCCCCTCTTACCTCAACATTTCCATAGCTTTCGAATTGACGTCAAACTTTACCACTACCCCCACCGACGACCAAATAATGTACAAAGCACGCGTCACCGTCGATCGAGTTCTGACACTCCATCCAACCCGCCAAGATGGAGGTGAGATCATGAGGCCATCAAATCACTTCATGGTCACTTCTATTTGATGTGGGCTGTTGGCGAGAGGGAAGATGTGAAGCTGTTGCTGAGGGTGAAGCTGCTTGCTTGTATGATGGCAGTCATGCGTGGTAAGTTCATGTCCAGTCGGAGATCGGTGCTGAAATATAGCTGACTGATACCAATCATAACACACACAGAGGACTATCTTGAGGATGGACTGCCTTCTTTGAAATGTTAAGGTAGACCTTCTCCTTTCTCGCTTTGTGAGTTTGGCATATCAACCCCGAGGTACGTTCATTCCCATTTCCTCCCTTGCCTGTTTTCCCCATTGCTTCTCTTTTGCAATACCTCCTGTCTACACAACTTCTTCTTTCATTCCCTCGGCCTGGTCTGAAGTATTTCTGGATATTTTCGTACGAAGTCAAATGTTTGCGGGTAGGGATTTCAAGATTCGAATTCTGGATTTTGGTTGTTGTGGTAGTCCAAATTCCGGCTGCATTTATTAGTTATATTGATGGACACGGTGGTGTCAAGTCCTTCAGCGCGACGACGAAGTGCACTGTACACTTCTAGATGGAACGAAATGTTGTTCTTACCCCTACGGGATGCCGAGGAGTCACATTTGAATGCACGCAAATGGACGTGCATGGACTTTGACCAAGATTTCCAGTCACTCCGCAAGTTTTCACCAACCGCAGCTCTCATTAGCTACATAAAGGGCACCTCCTGATCCCAGCCTTCCAATATTCCCTTTTTTTTTACGGAATTTTGGACGTTAACTCACGGTCAGATAACCTGATCCCACCCAATTCCAGCTCACAATCTCCTCGACATGTCCAGATTAGCATCCAAACCAGATGAGGTGTCTTACCCTCGCAAGGCATCCGGCCCCAGGATATCTCGCTCCACCATGCCCGCCTCAACCAGCAACACCAGGGTGGGTAAGTTTTCTTCAGCTCCCAGTGTGTTGAAGCGCATCAAGTAATAAGCGGTCGCTAACCTCTCTCTACTACTCATAGGAGCTGTTTCCGCGCCCCGCCATACCCTACTTCCGATGGCATTCAGGATCATTCCGATCAACCGGATCAGTATGTCACAATGAACCAAGCCTCCCACCTGACCATTGCCTGCGCCTCGCACTGATTTCTAGGTACACACTTACCGTTTGGTAGCCCGCGAAATGACCCACAGCAGCACTGTCATCCCGACCCGTCCCAAGATCGCACTCAGGGCTCGCCAGGTTATCCAGAAAGCCTTGATGAATGGAAGTCACGATGAGACTATCGAGATGGCTCTCACCAAGCTGCTTTCAAACTTTAATTACCTCTGGGGCTGGGGTGGTTACAAGGATAAGTCGGTGGGGGTCACCGTTGGGTTACTTAATGAGATGCTGGCTGTCTTGAAGGGTATGCGACTTCCTTGGCCCCTGCTGCTCGCTCGTCCATGTTGACCGTACGTACTCTTAAGCTGACGTATCTGGTGTAGAAGATCGGTTGGAGGGTGGTGGCTCGAATCTCTCAGCTGTAACATACAGGTCGTATCTAGGTAGTAAGTAAATTCAGCCTTCTCGTGTCAATTTCGATCCTTCAGTCTTTCATTTAGTCCAAATCCCTTTGTTAATCGTCTCTGTTCTCTGCGGCGTCTGTCGGACTTACTGGAACAAGCGTTCTGAATCCAGATGTTTTTTCGTCTTCCGTCTTCGAAATGCATGCACTGCCGATGGGTTACAGGGGGCCATGCGCTGTATGTTATAGCGTATACCCTTGGGTTTCCGGATGTCGGGTTCCCCGTTGGTCGCATACTCCACTTGCACTTTTCGGCTACCGGCTTTGGGTTACATCATATGTACAGCGCTTTTGTCTGGTATGCCCCAGAGCTTACAGCGCTCAGCATACAGGGGAGCCCGGCATACCTGTACCTCTACCTCTATTCTAGGGCATGCACGACAAAGGGGCCAAGTCAGCCGACCAAAAACATGTGTGAAGAAACAAAGGGATCTCGCCATGGTGAACCACGACAAATTTATTCGTCTTTCGTCAACTCGATCGAGGGTCACGAGGAGACTCTTCAACTTTTTGAGAAGCAGCCAAATCTCAAGAGAGGATGGTAGTGCACATCTCTGGTGACCTTTCCCTTGCGGTATGAGCACCTCCGCCGGTTGTTATATTTGAAGGCTACCTAGACTTCCACCCAAATCTTGACCGCTCAGGTTTGAGAAAGGGGGCAAACTGACCCCCTAATCTCTTTTAGCCAAGCTGTCCGCTGAGAAAGAATCTACCGGGCCAAGATGCTCCGAGCGTGACAGGTAACAGAAGCTGCGGAAGCTTGCCAGATCGGTGACTCGATCACAGTAGTTGACACCAATGTCTGGTCTCAAATGCCAGGAAGCCATACCACAGTCCACATGAAGTAGATTGAGAGACAACATGCGCGAAAGCGTGGGAAACGCTCAGTCCATTGAGCCCGCTGCAGTTACTTCATGGCCAAGGCCTGCCTGAGTCTACATGTACTGGAAGGTGAGCGATCGCGGTCTCCCAACCTTGCTTGAAGAAGTCCGAACTCATACTGTAATGGGTTGGTAATATTGTGCAAAGCAGGTTGGGGGATTGACTCTCGAACGAGGAGTGTCACCGAACCAGTATTGCATCGGTTAAATTAGAGGTAAGTGCTCGCAGTCGTATTGAGCGAGGGGTGTTTCTTACAATTACAAGTCTGAATTCCGAATCGACAAGGTCTATGGGTTTTGCAATAGAATGACAAATACATCTTTCAGACTTCCAATCCTTCATTGGGGACAAAGTACGCTCTCGAAGGATGCACCCGAAGACCTTTGATTGGCCTGTGCGTGGGTGAAACATGAATCAAAAGTCTACACGGCCTGCTCATTTTACTCTTGTTTCTTCCATTGTTTCTTCCATTGTCCCACTCTCACCATTGTTATACCCATGCTGACCAAATCACGCCCATTGTCTGCCCACCTTCAAACCGTTATCGAATTCTCCGTCAATGCGGACGTCACCTCGAGTCGTGTCCTCGGCAAATCTTCTACAAAACCATGTCCTAGTCGCTTCGGTAAAGCGGCTAAATGATGGTCCCTGAGCTCCCTGGCCCCCTGCCGAACTAAAACACCGACAATTCGCATCCCGGTTATATTGGTAGCGCACCCCTCCAAAATGCAACGGGAATCCGGGGTGAGCCCTTGTCGACGCCTTGATGATACCCTCCGGGCTTCCCCTTGGGGCTCGTCTATCTCATATTGGCTCGTGGCAACCATGCATCAAAATATCTTGGCTTGTTTTCGATGGTCCCAGTTCATCCAGGATTGGTGTTTCGGAGAATTATACACTACTTTGGAAGGCGCTAAGATCTCAGGAACCGGTTCAAAGCAGTACGTATCGGGAATTGATTGTAGACTTCGGAGGCTCAGTGGCCGGTTAAACATCAGACTCGTGAATGTCGATCCTCAATTCGATCGAGTACAAGAACGTCATCTCGTCCTGCTTTAATGTGTTTCTCTTCTCTCCATCTTCTGCTTCCTCCCCCATCCAGCACGGACCAAACCATCAGCCATCAAGATGCTTGCCGAAACTTTCATTACCGCGGCCCTCTTCGCCACTTCGGCGCTCGCCGCCCCGGCTCCCAACCCCGTTCAGCTGATGAGCCGCGCCCCCCAACCGGGCGTCGTCATCAGGCAGTGCGCCCAGCCTGGCATGCTCGCACTCGCATACGATGACGGCCCGGGCCAATACACCTCGAGGCTGGTCGACATCCTTGACGCCGCCGGTGCCAAGGCCACCTTCTTCATGACCGGCACTTTGTACGGCTGCATCTACAACCAGGCTGCGGCCATCAAGAAGGCCTTTGCTAGCGGTCATCAGTTGGCTTCGCATACTTGGTAAGTTCTTTATTTTTGTTGTCGTTGTTTTGGTCAATGTTGTTCGGTTTACCTCTATCGAGCCCCTGACCCCTGCATGGACATCCTACCCTGCTCAAGCCTCCAAAACACTCCAGTCCCTCATTCGCAAAAGTCAAGTCGTGCAACCATCAGACAGCAAAATATGATACATAGACTAGAGGTAACTAACAAACCAAAACCACCACAGGTCCCACGGCCATATGAATTCCTTCTCCGCCGCCCAAGTCGCCTCCGAGATGACCAAGGTCGAAACCGCCTTCGCCAACCTCGTCGGCAAGAAGCCGCGCTACATGCGTCCTCCCTTCCTCGAGACCGGCAACCAGGTCCTCCCCGTCCTCAAGTCCATGGGCTACAAGGTGATCACAGACGACGTCGACTCGGGCGACTGGAACAGGCAGACGCCGGCGCAGTCGGAAGCCAAGTTCATGCAGGCGGGTGCGCGCGGCAATGGCCACATCCCGCTGATGCATGAGGTGTATCAGTCAACGGTCGAGCAGTTGACGCCGTGGTTGATCAACTGGGCCAAGCAGAACAACTTGAGACTGGTTACCGTGGCGGAGTGCTTGGGAGATAAGAATGGAATGTACCAACCGCAGAGTTTCCCCGTGCATCAGGGACCGCTTTCGTGCTAGGTACCTACCTACAGGAGGTTAGAATTGATAAGTTGAGGGGCAGGAGGAACGAAGGGTATATTGGGTTGGGATAGAATTGGTGGCATTTGTGCTTTTATCTTCACTACATATTGGCAGATCAACGTACATAAGAGATTTGACTCGAAGCTAAAGTCTGCAGTGTGACTTGCGGCGGCCCCCGTCTATGGTCCCTTCATGCAGACAGAGTCAGAGGTGTGGTAGTCTTGCTGTTGCCATCAAGTTATCGTACCTCTAGGTATTCCCCCATTTCGGCTCATATCTGTAGCGTTACATGTATAAAACAGATCCCACAGTCAACGACGGTATCGGCTACGATCTCGTCGTCTTCACATCTCAGTTCTAGTCCCGATCTTCATCATCACCGGGACAAACGAACTCGATATGTCTTGCAGTCGGTAACAGCCTTCAACCTCACCAGCGTAGAGTTAGGAAGTCGAAGAACCCACGTCCCCACCCCTCTCTCCAACAACACCCTGTTCACTACCCTCTGCTCCTCCGAGAAACTAGCCTTCGCCAACATTCCCGCCCGCGACTCGTCTCTCTCCTGGCTCCTGTCCCAACTCGCCCAAGATGATGCCTTTCCCCCTTACTCTGGTCTCTGAATTCATGATTCCTTGCCTCTCCACCTCCAGGGTAACGCATCCTCAATATAGGCAGTGGCACCGGCCGCTCAATTGCTCCTCCCTCGCTGAAGCAGGCCATCCACTCCTGTGGTTGATTTCTATCCTGCCGTAATCGACTTCACACAGGAGGATGTTTCTTCGCTGTATCCCGGTAAGAGGGCAAAATTTGTGAGTGTGGATGTGGAGAAGTTCGAGCCGGGGAAAGATGATTCGCTCTCTCAAGGCACAGAGAGAGGCTGGGAGGGTCGAAAGTAATAACTGGGAGGAGGGAGATCCGGAGGGGTGTCATGCCGTAACGGTGGATTTCTCTTTGCTGCGCAAATCTGAGACATAGGAGATTAGATAGGTAATTGAGGAGATATTTACTGGTTGAGAGAAAGGCGGGCTGTTTTCATTGGGTACGGTCCCGATGAAAGTCGAGGGAGAGCTGATCGAGTGAATGGGAAGGTCGGTACCGGAATCGAGCTGAAGTTGAAGTCAGGTGTTGGAGGCGGTTCGGCAGGTCGGGTTTCAGCTCGAGTGGGAGACGACGAGGAAGTTTGCGTCGAAAGTGGTGGAGGTGGGGATCTTGAGGCCGAAGTAGGCGCATTTGTTTGTTTATGCGGTTCAGACGTGGTATCCGTAGGAGTAGGCGGAGGTGGTCAACGCTCGGTCAAGTCGGTTCGCGATCTGAGGTACCGGCTGGGTAGCACGGGGCACAACTCGTTGTGCTTTTCTGTGTGCGAGTTTTTGGTTGTTGTGTAGGACTTTTACATCGCGAGGAATGGTCTCAGTTGCCATCCTCCATCTCCTCATCCTCCTCTTCGTCTCCCACCTCCTCCTGCGCTGCCGCCTTAAGCGCCATGATTTGTTCCTCGGAATACTTGAATGCCTTCAACACGTTGACAAAAACCATCTCATATCCATCCCTGTACCGTCGCACCAAGTCCTGTCGCTCAGTTTCCGGCTCCCACTCCTCTCCTCCGTTCGGCCTGCCATAACAGAACTCGACAAAGTCCCTCTCAATCTTCTGCGCCAATGTAGCTTTTAGCATGTCCACCAACGGGTCCAGCTCCTCCCCAAGAGAACCATCGCCGAGGCTATGATTTGGCAATTTCTTAAACAACTCCCACTGCTCCGTGGTAGCCATCATCGACACCATATCATTGATAAGCCTGCCATCCCAGTGGCTGAAATGCGGCTGGTGATGAAGCGCGTTGGGCACAAAATCAGATCCCATGCGATTCCGACAAGAATAGCCCTCCCAGAAGTCCTCGCGACAGATTAGGAAGTCCTGCGGCTCGCCGCCCTTGCCCTGTGTATCGCCCTGATGTTGTCTCTTTCGCACATGTATATAATCGTTATGCGGCCTCCATGTCTCTTGGTTCTTGACACCAGCAGAGAGGTCTTTGGGGTTAATGATAAAGCCATAGCCTAGCAACAACTCGCTGTTCGTCTTGAACCCGTAATTGTTGAAAACCTGCTGACCGGGGCCATAGCTATCGTTGCAGATCAGTTCGCACGCGCTCGGCTCTGAAGTGAGGTTCCATGTGTACGAGGCATCCCAGGAGTGATTGCCAATGTCATACAGGGGCTGCAAGATGGAGAAGTCGTCAATCTTTGCTCCCTCCGGCAGCAGCCGCTCGACGTACTCCCTCGCCGACTCGGACAGGACCAACGAAGGCCTGAAGCTGCGGCTGGTAAACATGCAGTACGCCCAGTTGTAGAGCACCTGCGTATAATCGCGATAGTCCGGGAAGCCTTCCTTTTTGAGGATCTTGCGCGCCTGTTTGTACTCGGACTTGACGTTGTTTTGGATTTCCTGGATGGCGTTATAAGCGTTGGTACCCTTGAGCAGCTCGATGTCGTCCTCGGCCCAGAAGGGAGGCAGTGCCCACTTGTCAAGCTGGCTGGGGTCGGCCAGGGTGGAGATGTAGGGCGCCCAGAAAGAGGACTTGCCCTTGAGGTATTGCTGAATCAGGTAGAAGCGGCCGATGACGTGCGGCGGGAGGGAGTTCATGAAACGCTCCGGAAATGCAGGATTTTCAGTGTTGGGAGCCGGCGTCGTTGAGAACGGTGTAATGGGCTCGTCAGTGAGAGCATTGAGGTAAGAGAGCGTGATGGAGGTCGGGCAGGAGACGGCCTTGAAGCCACTTTGTAGCAATTCAGTGGCCGATGGCTTGACGCGCAGCGAAAACCCTGTGACCTCGTCCTCGTACACCTCAAGCAAAGGGTGCAGACTTGCGCCGTGATTATGAGCCCAGTCCAAGAGCGCCTCAAAGCGTTCTTTGTGTGGCGACTCCATCTTTGCACGTCCTCGTCGTCGGTGGTGATATGACGTGTGTGGTGTTGTTGAGGTTGAAGGGAAGTTGAGAAGTGTAAGTTTCACTTTTACACCATGTCGGTCGTCAGTGCTGTCACTTGGTGGCTTCAGGCAGGCGGTTGTTACAGCTGACAGCATCAATGACCTGTGTAGCTCCCCTGTCCAGATTAGTCAGCGGCACAGCGTAAAATATACACCTCTGCTTGGATTTGAAATGTTAGCGCGGTGAATTTGCCGATTAGTGGGGGTGGCAAGGCCCGGCCGACTAGGGTATTACAATGTCACTCTTCTAGTAGTTTCTATAGGAAAATACTTAAATTTTGGAAATTGGACTTTTGGGAGCCGGGGGAAGTATTTTTTTATTACTACTTTTTCTACTATGATAACGGTTACCGTCCCTCGAAGTATTGCTATTCCTAACCTTCTAAATCCAGTGTCAGGAACGTAGGCGAAAGGTAGGTTGAGGTGACTACGGTCGTAGCCGCACGTAGGGGACGGCAAGTTAGGGGTCAATCCAAAAATATATTAATAACTACCGACTACAATAAAATACGCTCTATTAAACCTTTTTTATACCTATACAAACTCTATTCCTCCGCTAACGAGCATTATAGAGCCTTATACTAGTCTAACGCCTCAGCGCAGTACCGAATTATCCTTCCCACGGGTCCGACCCGAAATAAATATTATCGTAAATAATCCTACACTTCCATTAATAAAGGAAAATAGTAACTGCTAAGGTACCTCTATACACAAACTCTTAACCTCCTAATACAACCCCCCCCTTATAGGTTCCGTCTTCGGAACTTTTATAATAAACGCCGGGTACTATAACATTGTTGGACATTATTTACTATAACTACTAACGCTATATTCTGGATTATAGCCGCTCTGCTACTAATAAACCGCCTACTAGAATATTAGTATTATAATATCCGTTCTTATAAATTTTAAATATAGTTACAAAACCGGTATTAAATTTAAAGAGTTAATATTCCGCCCACCGGCATATTAGTACTATAATATCTATTCTTATAGATTTTAAATATAGGTACGAACTTGGTATTAGATTTAAAGTATTAATGTACCGCCTATTAGAATATTAGTATTATAATATTTATTTTTATAATTCTAAATATAAATACAAAACTAGTATTAGGCTTAAATGTCTAACGTTCCGCCCGCTAGAATATTAGCATTGTAATGTCTATTTTCATAACGTACTGCCCGTTAGAATATCGGCATTATAATATTTATTCTTATAAACTCTAAATATAAATACGAAACCGTTATTAAATATAAAGTATTAATATTCCACCCGCTAGAATATTGGTATTGTAATATCTATTCTTATAATATACCGCCCGCTAAAATATCAACATTATAATATCTATTCTTATAACGTACCGCCCGCTAAAATATTAGTATTGTAATATCTATTCTTATAAATTCTAAATACGAATATAAAACCATTATTAAATTTAAAGTATCAACGGGGTTCCCGACCGTTATTAAAACCGTTATCCTATAAATATATAAGGAGGTAAATTTTATTTTACCTAACGAAGAATACTATTCCGAACTTAAAAATATTAATAAATATCTTAGGATACTAATATAATTATACCCTATAATTCTTCCCTTTAAATACTCTCTATTATCCGCACTTGCAATATAATTTAATACTCTCGTAGGACACTCTCCGTTATTTATACCTACTTCGGAATACCTACGTAATTAAAATCCAAAGCTCCTCTCGTAGGTTATTCTCTATTATTCGCGCCTACTACGACCTACTATAATATTTAAATATAATCCCCCCTCCTATAAATTCTATTTTCGGAACCTTTATTTCTATCCTCCACCTCCTATAATTCTATATACTACTTCCTCTATAAACCTCCCTTACTTATATTATTCCTTTTTAATTACTTTTCTATTACTTTCGTTTTATTTTTTATATTATTTTTTTCTTTTTAATAATATAATTCTTAACCACTTCCCTTACTCTCCTTACTATAATTTAAAGTACGTACCTTCCTATTTTCTACCTTTCCTTCCTACTTTTTTATAACTACCGTTACTATTTATTCGTCCTATCCTTCCCCTTTTAACTATCGCTCTT